AAATTATCACAAACTGGGGGGTTTAAAACAGAAATTTATTCTTGTATAGTTTTGGCAAGGAGAATCAAGTTAATCAAGTGTTAACAGAACTGCTTCTTTCTGGATGCTCAGAGAGAGAATTTGTCCCACGTTTCCCTCCTGGTTTCTGGTGGCTTCCAGGAATCTTTAGTGTTTCTTGGTTTGTAGCCATATCACTTCCAGTCTCTGCCTTCGACTTTCACATGATCTTCCCTTCTCTGTGTCTTCTCTTGGGTCTCTTATAAGGACACTTATTATTGGATTTAGGCCCTACCTGGGCCCTTAAGATGATATAAGATCCTAAATTGCCCAGAAAGAACACAGATAGCAGCCTAGAATCTAAGCAGAACCTGAATGGTTGGGATTAAGGAGAATCAGAAGAAAGGTGTTAGGACTGAAATGACATATCATGTAGGATTTAATTTCTCTGTGATAACAAAGGTAGAGGAGATTCATCTGAGGAATCCCAAATTTTGCTGCCAGATTTTAAAGAGAAAACTGTCAGTGATCTAATAATATTGTTATATTCCAGTGAATGCAACAAATTTAGTTCTTATGTCCAGCATTGTGTTATTTGGTGCCATTCTTATATGATGGTCATATATTATTGGTTGATTAACATACTAATGAGTTTAGTTGGACTGTGTAAGAAAGTATAGCTTAGGATGGGAAGAGAGATGTCAGTTTTATTTCTACTAGGTAGAAAGTAAAATGTGGTCCAGTTCTGATAAATTTCAGGATTTTAAAGGACCCATGGGGCAAGAGAAGAAACCGTAAGTGACAGACCAGCCTATCTCACTGCCCTCTTATGGATTCTAGCAGCAGAGGGTGGGATTGGGTTGATGACCCCATGGAATAGAGTCACAATGTTCTGATGATCCACAAAGTCTCAAAAGGCCAGCCATACCCCTTGTTTGGTGCTAAGTTTGTTGTTGTCACAACAGCCCTAATCTAAGTTTGCTCTTTTCCCAAGGAGAATGGCACATCCGCCCCCAAGAGTCTGCTAGATGGTTGCTCTATCTACTCTGCAGGACTAAAAAAGTTCCATTGTAAAAATTACTGCGCATTAAGGTGAACTGCTTCAGAGGCCTCAGTCACCTTTAATTAGGTAATTTTCAGCGTCCTGTTAAGAGTTGTGGTCAATTAAATCCTTATTTGTTGCGGGTGAATCTGTTACTGTTCTTTATAACTTTTTTATAAATCTTAAGTTCTTTCTCAGAAAATGTGAGTGGCTATGAAAAGAGCATTTGGTTCAGTTTGGGTTTGTTTTCACTCCCTAAGCTTTACTGCTTGTGAGGTGTTACTTGCACTGGACTTTGTGGTGGTGGCTCTGCGCGATGGTGACGCGGCCCAGCAGCTTGTTGAGCTCCTCGTCGTTGCGGATGGCCAGCTGCAGGTGGCGCGGGATGATGCGCGTCTTCTTGTTGTCGCGCGCCGCGTTGCCCGCCAGCTCCAGGATCTCGGCCGTCAGGTACTCGAGCACGGCCGCCAGGTAGACGGGCGCGCCGGCGCCCACCCGCTCGGCGTAGTTGCCCTTGCGGAGCAGGCGGTGCACGCGGCCCACCGGGAACTGCAGGCCGGCCCGCGACGAGCGCGTCTTGGCCTTGGCGCGCGCCTTGCCGCCTTGCTTGCCGCGTCTGGACATAGCTTGAGAACAGATGTGTAATAACGGAGAAAATTTCCGTTGGGTCAGGTGCCCGGCCTTTATATAGTCTAATGGTAGGTTGTGAATTGCTATTTGATTGGCTGATAGTCTACCAATGAGAGAACATTCCTGGAATCACCTCATTTACAAACACGCCACTACCCATTGCCCAATCAGATGTTGGCTGCCGAACACGTCATTGAGCGCTGTGCCTATAAATACCACACTTGGCCTTCTCAAGTGCGGGTTGTTGGCCACATTGGAGCTGTTTGCCAGCCATGCCAGAGCTGACCTCAAAGGGCACTACTATTTCCAAGAAAGGTTTTAAAAAAGCTGTAACCAAAGCTCAGAAGAAAGAAGGGAAGAAGCGGAAGAGATGCCGTAAAGAGAGCTACTCCATTTACATCTACAAGGTGCTGAAGCAGGTGCACCCCGACACCGGCATCTCGTCCAAGGCCATGAGCATCATGAATTCCTTTGTTACTGACATCTTCGAGCGCATCGCGGGCGAGGCGTCCCGCTTGACGCATTACAACAAGCAGTCGACCATCACGTCGCGGGAGATCCAGACGGCCGTGCGCCTGCTGCTGCCCGGGGAGCTGGCCAAGCACGCCGTGTCCGAGGGCACCAAGGCCGTCACCAAGTACACCAGCTCCAAGTAAAACGACTCCAGGCACCAGACAAACTTTATAACCCAAAGGCTCTTTTAAGAGCCACCCACATTTCCCAAAAGACTGTAGGCTCTTAGTTGTAATATATGTGGGTAGGTCTTCTGATCTCGGGTTGTGATCCGACGGTCCTGGGATCGAGCCCCACATCAGGCTCCTTGCTCAGCGGGGGGCCTGCTTCTCTCTCTCCCTCTGCCTGAGGCTCCCCCTGCTTGTGCTCTCTGACAAAATCTTTAAGATAAATAAGTGATATGATAGGTCACATGAAAAAACAATGTGCATTTATCATTTGTGCAGTGACTTATGAACTGAAGATCCAGCACTGAAGTTTGTAATTGATGCAACTATTCACTATTGAAATTTGTACTGCGTTGTTGGTATTGGCGTTATTTAACCGAACTGTCATAACTGAAATTCACTTATATCAAAACCGTGCAGTGTGAGATTTGTCTCTAGAAGTAAGCGCCCCACTAAAGAAGCTAGGAAAAATAAAAATAAGGTGAGTCAGTGGAAGGTGAAAAGTTAAATAATGAAAAACTTGGAAAAAAAACACTTAGGAAAAAGAGAAATGGCAAAACCGTTTTTAAGCTTTTTCATTACAGTAAAACTAATAAATGCAAAAGTAAAGAAATAGCAAATAAATACATTTTAAAAAATAAAAGATTAGCCAGTAACTGATGGGGTTTGCAAGAAAACAAACACAAATTTAGGGATAATAAAGAATTTATAGTTACAAACAGTGGAGATAAAATCACTAGATACCAATTTGCTTATCTCTAAAAGGTAACTTTAAATGATTTTCTTGTAAGATATAATTTACCAAAACTTATTACAAATTATTAGCAAATCTAAACAAAAGTTTCATAAAAGAATAGGGAAAATGGCCAAAGAATTGTCAACGGAAGAAGTTTGAAAAGAGGAATTTTACCAAAGTTTTCAAGAAAAGAGAATTCCAATGTATTCAGTTTCAGGTATTAAAAAGACAGTTATTTTCTAGGGGTGCCTGGGTCACTCAGTCCGTGGAGAGCATCTGACTCTTGGTTTCAGTTCAGGTCGTGATCTCAGGATTGTGGGATGGAGCTCCACACTCAGCGGGGAGTCTTCTTGGGATTCTCTCTCTCCCTCTCCCTCTGCACCCCTCCCCCCTACTCTCTCTCTCTAAAAAAAAAAAAGGAAAAGGGACAAGAAAGTCCTCAGGGAAGGCTTTTCTTGCTCTCAGGGGCTCAGTGAAATAGACTGTCTCTTCCTGCCTTTACTTCCTCCCATCTGCATGAACACTTGGAACTGTGGCCAGCATGAGGGTAAAGTCGGTGTGGAGAAGAGCTGAGGCAATCAGGGCAATGAGCCAGGACTCTGATCATCCCACTCCTGGAGTTTCTCTGCCTTTGGGCATCCTGATTAGTGTTATTACTGATTGTATCAGCTCATTCATTTGGTACTTCCTGTTATTTGCAGCCAAAACATAATCTGAAGTAAAACCCGCGTCAGGCTTGGCACGATCAGGTGGTACTAAAGTTTATTTAATGCAAATATATATACATTTCTAAATCATAAAAAAGTGCTTTAAATTAAGTTGAGGATTCCAGCTAAATCACAGGTTTACTGGAAGTAATTTGATCCCTTTCTTTTGTCGTTGAATTCAGTCGTACATGGACTTCAATACTTGGGTCTCTTCTCTAAGAGTCCAGATGACGCAGTAATACAGAACACAAACACCGACAGAACAAGTGATCATAAGGTGTAGAAAAGCAATGTAAAAAGGGAAGAGATTCAGTTAAAGTTACTGTTTACCAGCAGATTGTGGTTAGCCAGGTTAGTTCCAATATGAAATACCTCATGGTGACATTTACACATTCCAGGGTCAACATGCTCTCTACAAATAATGGGCTACAAACCTGTAACATAGAAGACCTCAAGCCAAGAGACAGCACCTCAAACTGCAGCTTGAGGGCAGCTAGGCTAGTGTATAGGACAAATTCTTTCATGCACATCAGTAAACAGGAAGCAAAACACATTCTCCAGGCCACACTTCCCTAGGGTCCCAAGAGCTCTCCACAGCTTCAGGCCCTTATCTTCTAATAGGGAGGATTTTTGCAAAAGGCCGAGTAGCTCAGTTGGTTAACCATCTGCCTTCTGCTTAGGTCATGATCCCAGGGTCCTGGGATCCAGCCCTGCCTCAGGCTGTTTGGCCTTGTGCTTGTCCCTGTCTGCCCTGCTGTGCTAAAATAAAATTTTTAAACAAAACCCTGCTGCATCCCTTGTGAGCCTGGTCTCCCCAACCCCATCCACATGTACAGATTACAAATGCTTTTCAAACTCGCTTACAGCATTGCTCGTATGGAGACACTCAGGGATCCCATGAAAAATACTGGTAGCCCTAGAATGTAATGTGAATCTCGGCCCGTTGGGGACAGTACTTAATCGGCTTCAGTTGCAAATAGTTCCACACCACTGTCGGGCCCTAATCTGGCTGAACAAGTCTCACTATTCAAATAGAACTAGCACCTACTTTTACCTGTTTCAGAAACAAGATTTTTGAATTCTCAGCTGGGCACAATCTAGGGACTGTGCCCTGTCAGCAGAGAGCCCACAGCCCTTCTTCAGGAAATGTAAGTGGCTCTTAAAAGAGCCTTTGGGTTAGATTAACTGAGGACGCTTACTTGGCAAGCTCACTTGGAGCTGGTGTACTTGGTGACAGCCTTGGTGCCCTCGGACACGGCGTGCTTGGCCAGCTCCCCGGGCAACAGCAGGCGCACGGCCGTCTGGATCTCCCGCGACGTGATGGTCGAGCGCTTGTTGTAATGCGCCAAGCGGGACGCCTCGCCCGCGATGCGCTCGAAGATGTCAGTAACAAAGGAATTCATGATGCTCATGGCCTTGGACGAGATGCCAGTGTCGGGGTGCACCTGCTTCAGCACCTTGTAGATGTAAATGGAGTAGCTCTCTTTACGGCATCTCTTCCGCTTCTTCCCTTCTTTTTTCTGAGTTTTGGTTACAGCTTTTTTGAAACCTTTCTTGGAAATGGTCGTGCCCTTCGACGTCAGCTCCGGCATGATGAGTGTACAGCTCTATAGCGTTACAGCTCTCCAGTTACAGCTCTAGCGGCTCCAAGCAGCCCCAAGCAAGCGAAGAGCACTGAAGCCTGGCGAGAGCAGTATTTATAGGCACAGCCCTGAAGTGACACATCGAGCAGACACCATCTGATTGGTTAATGGGTGGTGGCGTGAATGTAAATGAGGTGATTCTGGCCGGGCTTTCTGATTGGCTAGACGGCCATCAGCCAATCAGATAGCAAATCACAACCTACTGTCAGGCTATAAATAGGCCTAGTAGCGTCTTTAGCTGCTGTAGTTTCCCGCAGTGCGCTCAGTTATGTCCGGGCGCGGGAAGCAGGGTGGCAAAGCACGCGCTAAAGCGAGATCCAGGTCGTCTAGAGCTGGCTTGCAGTTCCCGGTGGGCCGAATCCACCGCCTGCTCCGTAAGGGCCACTACTCGGAGCGGGTCGGCGCCGGCGCGCCCGTGTACCTGGCGGCCGTGCTGGAGTACCTGACGGCCGAGATCCTGGAGCTGGCGGGCAACGCGGCGCGCGACAACAAGAAGACGCGCATCATCCCGCGCCACCTGCAGCTGGCCATCCGCAACGACGAGGAGCTCAACAAGCTGCTGGGCCGCGTCACCATCGCGCAGGGCGGCGTCCTGCCCAACATCCAGGCCGTGCTGCTGCCCAAGAAGACCGAGAGCCACCACCACAAAGTCCAGAGCAAGTAATTTCCAAGCCCTGAATCCCAGTGAGTGACCTGAACGTTTGGAGAAGAAAAACCAAAGGCTCTTTTCAGAGCCACTCAAATGATCACTGAAGGCTGTGCATAAGCTACCATATATGTGAGGTGTTTACCTATATGTACGTGTACCATGAATCTCGGTAAAAATCCAGCACTCCAAAACGACCTTTGGTTCTACTAACGGGTTCTTTCGAGTTTTCAAGCTGTTAAGGCTGAACAAGCCTTCCTGGTAAGTGGTCAGCTAGGAAGGTTTTTCTGAGAGCGCAGGGGGAGGGCCAGAGAGAAGGAGGGAGAATCTGAAGCAGTCTCCATGCTCAGTGCATCCCATTGCAGACTTTGATCTCACCACCCCTAATATGACCTGAGTGGAAGTCCAGAGTGCTTCACCTAACCGACTGAGCCACCCAGGCGTCCCAGACAGCAAAGTGTTTAGTCACCACGTACCGGAGTCAGTGGGAGGAGGAACTGCAATTACGCTATCATTACAACCACCACTTTGTCTCTGAGCCAATGTGAACAAGTCATTTATTTTTTTAGAGAGGGCACTCGTGAGAGAGCGTGGAGGAGGGGCAGAGGGAGAGTGAGAATCCCAACCAAGCTCCACACTCAGCTTGAGCCCCACCTGGGCTTGATCTCTGGACCCTGATATCATGACCTGAGCTGAAATCGAGTCCCACACTTAACCCACTGAGCCACCCAGGCGCCCCTAAACAGGCAACTTTAGTGCTAATATTTTATTGAGTTAAGGACTATACTTTTTTTTTTTTTAAGATTTTTATTTATTTGACAGAGAGACAGAGGGAACACAAGCAGAGGGAGTGGGAGAGGGAGAAGCAGGCTTCCCGCTGAGCAGGGAGCCCAATGTGGGGCTCGATCCCAGAACTCTGGGATCATGACCTGAGCCGGAGGCAGACGCTCAACCACTGAGCCACCCAGGTGCCCTGAGTTAAGAGCTATACTTAAGTGATGATTAGATAAGACCAAACAGGAGGGGGCGCCTGGCTTGCAACTCTTGATCTCAAGGTTGTGAGTTCCAGTCCCATGTTGGGTGTAGAGATTACTTAAAATCTTAAAGAAAAAAAGAAAAAGAAAGAACAAACAGGAGAGATGTAATCTTGTAGCTTTTGATTTAACTGGTGACAGTCCTATCACACAGTCCAGCAAGATTGCCTGGTTTTCTTAAAGTATCTTCCGAAAAGGAATTTCCTTTCAAATATGCTCGTATTTATTCAGTATCCTGAAATCTTTAGACAATATATGAGAAAACCAAAAGTTAGCAAGTTAATCTTAAAATTTAGGGCATATGTGAATATTTGATTCGTGTGGTTTCACACACATGCTTAATAAAAAGGACTAGAATAGTTTCTTAAAATACAGAACAACATATCTCAAAACCAAGTTTGGTGTATCATGTGTGATGGAGAGAACTAGTGTCAGTCTCATAAGAGGCAGGAATATGACAAGAATGTCTATCATAATTATTTGAAATCATTAAGAAATTTTGGCCACGCTTTTCAAAAATTTTGACAAAATAGTTTCAGTTGATTTGTTTGTGTTGTGAACACCAAGAAAAATTGGAAAACAAATGAACATTTAGTTAGCCTGTCAAATACAAAATTACAAAATATTCAGTAGTCCACCTTATCTAAAAGAAAAAATCTCATTGGTTTTCAAAAAAAAAAAAAGCAAGCCATTCCAGACACTTGAGATCTACACATAGGATATGTGTAGAAATAGATATGAAGAAAGGTATGAAGTTCTATAAGAAGTTAAAAGATGAGAATTAAGTACATAATATGTTGATTAGGGAAAATTGGATTATGAAAGAGTTAACCCGCTCTTGAATTAATGTACATAAATACCAATTAAGGCATGTAATTGGGGAGGGGCACAAAAGGAAGGAAAAATTTTGAAGACTAAAAAATTGCACAGATATACTGAACAAAATTAGATAATGTTTAGAACATAGCAATTAAATTTTTTAATGTGAAATTTTAAAATCAAGGAAGAATAATGCTATACACAAGTGATTGTCTAAATGAGGGATATGTGAAAAATCTAAACAGAAAAATTCTAAATAATTTAAATAGATACACCTCCATCAAGGAGGTAGAGTTTAAGTCCCCAGCCTTGCCAAAGCACAGAGTATGGAAAGGCAGGGGAGATAGGAAGTGACTTTATAGTAGAGAAATCTAACAAACACTGTCTCAGCCAGGTGATCAATGTTCACAGCATCAGTGATAAGCCACGTGGAAAACATGGGCCTTTAATATGGTATGTTGAGAAGGGCATGTCACTTCTTTGGTCTTCCTCCCAACAACCCCATACTTCCAATCAAACTATGAGGAAAATATCAGGCAAATCCAAGTTGAGGAGCATTTTACAAATTATTTGACTATAAATCCTCAAAATTATGAAAGTCATAAAAAATTCTGACAAGGAATTCTGATGAGGAATTTCCTCATCAAGGAAATTCTGACAACTGCCATAGCCCAGAGGTGGCTAAGTAGACATGACCACTAAATGTCATATATTATGGATTGGATCCTAGAACAGGAAAAAAACAAAACAAAACATTAGGTAAAACCTATTGAAATCCAGTTTAGAGTTCAGTTCACTGAGATGTACCAATGTTAGCTCCTTGCTTGTGAGAAATGCACAAATATTGACAATAGGAGAAACTGGGTGAGGAGGATACAGGAACTCTATCTTGACAACTTTTCTGTAAATCTAAAATTATTCCAAGTTAGAAAGCTTACTGAAAAGAACAAAACAAAATAAACTTACTAAACAAACAAACCCAAATCAAAACAAAACAAAACAAAAAAACAGGGAAGAGTTCTAAATGCAAAAACGAACAGATGAAATACAACTCTTCACACCAGATCCTTTATAGCTAATTGGAATAGACTTTTGGCTTCTCAAGTGCCCTCTCTGTCACTGGTCTTTCCCCCAGCCCACACTGATGTGGGAAACAAAGACAGAAGAAAAATTATTAGATTTCCTTACTGTCTACAGCCCACTGACAAGTCCTTGAAACAGGCAGAGGGACGTTTCTCTAGGGACTCAACTGCCTCGATGTTAATACTTTGCTAAGGGCAAAAGGCAATCTGAGCCTGAACTCACCACCCCCCAAACCAGGATCCTTTAGGTCTACTTTAACATATAAAAATTCCTTTAGAAATTTCCTTTATCTCTATCCCCCAAGATACGTGTTGGCAATCATCCCCCAAACGTATGACCCCCAAGCATATACATCTGAAGGCTCTTGTGACTAAGGTTTTATTAGACGGTAATAAATGACCTTTTCCCAACAACATCTAGACCCCTCAAGGTCCTGGAAACCTTGCTTCCAAAGTTCCTTAGAGACTTAATGCTATCCCTAACTGCCTCCCAACTTGAAAGTATATAATGGGCCACTCCTCATGACCCCAGTACAGCTCTTTCTGCCCAGGGGTCCTGTCCCGTGCTTTAATAAAATCACCTTTTTGCACCAAAGACGTCTCAAGAATTCTTTCTTGGCCGTCAGCTTCAAACCCTAGTGTCTTTCCTACATCCTGTTCCCAGGATCTGTCCATGTCCCCCAGATGACAATGGGTTGCCCAATAACAATGTCTTGTCCCACAACTTGGTTCAGCACGGATATCAGCATCCTGTACCAGGTATTAGGGGCTGAATGGAGATTCTTGGCTTTCATTCTTTGCAGTGAATGTGGCCAGGTCAGACCCTTGGAAGATGGGGGCCTAGATGGCCTCTCTCATTCCCAGCTCCCTGAGAATTTACTGCACTTTATAGAGTTCCAGGTTCCCAGGTTCCCGCATGGCCCTCATTGAGCCAAACCTCCCTATAGGCTAGAATAATTCAATCTATTTGGGAGTGAGTACTTTGACCCCCTGAGCCCCGTGCAGGCACTGCCAGAGGGCAGGGTGTATTGTGATGCTCATCATCTCTGCCTCCAGCCTGGTCAGAGAAATGCTACGGCCCTCATATCCCATAGCCACACCAACCATGCAAGGACACTTGCCCTGGCCTTCTGCTGGAACTTGGCAGCTAAGTCAGTAAGCTCAGTGGGAAAAAAGAGGAGGCGGGCACCTGGCTGGCTCAGTTGGTAGAGCATGCAACTCTTGATCTCGGTCATGGGTTCAAGCCCCATGCTGGGCACAGAGGCTACTTTAAAAAAAAATAGCTCAGTGCGAGTATATTCTCTCATCATGACTGATGTGGAAATATTGGGGTTCAGAGCCGATGGCCAAGAAAGAATTCTTGAGATTTTCAGTGCAAAAAGGTGTTTTTTTATTATA